GACGCGTTTGATTCTTGATCTTTTGCTTCCCAGAGGAGAAGTTTCAGGTTTTCGAAGTCGCCATTCTCTCTCTTCTCTCCCTCCAGACGGGTCGTCAAACAACGACAGACACCCCGATCTCTGAGAGACAGCGTTCTCTGGCCGGTCATTTCCAAGATTTTTTCATTCATTATTCGATGAAATCATCGCATCCGATCACCTGAGCGGAAATCTCCTGACCTTGGTGCTGTCCGCTGATGCAAAACGTAAGTGAAACAATGCGAAGGACGGACGCATGCGAACGAGATTAACTGAAATTTCCAGCAAGAACGGTCTGCGCCGAATTTTACAGATGACATTTTAGCCTCGCGTAGATAACGACTTTAATTTATGCTGGAAAAGAAACAAGAACTCACCTGCAAACGGTCTAACTGTTGAGAATCAGTCGCTTCTTGCAGCTGAGACGGCGTCTCTGGCTTCTTCGACAGTGCCTCCTTGATTTTTTCGATCTTCAGTTCGATTCCGCACTGAACATTACTGACCGACGTTCGATCAGCTTGTAGCTGATCCCGCTGCATCTGAAGGTCTTGCTTCAAAGCCGGCAGCTGCTGCAATAGCGCGCGATAGTTGCCGACTTCGGCAGAATCAGGTCGCAGGCTAGACATTTTCGACATAAGCAATTTTGGAATGCCATTTTGAAGCTGATCGATCGTTTGAAATAGCAAATCAAATGAGCGCATGCGGTCTTCGAAGCTGCGGGCCACAAACCGGGCGGACAACATATCCGCGAGATGGCCAAAGGCGGTAGCTAACGTTTCATGAATCAAGGTATACAGAGTTTGGCACTGCGACTGAAACGAAGAACAAGTATGATAATTTACAATCAGCGAAACATGGTTTAATCCAAACCTTGTATTCAGCACAACTACTTTCCATCCAACTAGATGGAAATAAGGAAGTGCCGCACAGAGCCTGTAGCCCATGCCAGCGTGTGTCCAATTCCTCAAACGCATTGGCTAACACAGCGTGGCTAGTGACCAACCTCTAAACGAAATATTTTACGAAAAGTATTAAAAACGAAACTTCGTTTCATACAATACCTCAAGTAGGTTCATATCCGAACCAACCATCGCATCCATTAGCATCATGTGAAAGACTTCACACTGTGATAAGAAGTCTTGACGAGGTGAGTGCACGCTAGCCCATCGATCGCGACACAGAGTCAGCTGATGACCCTTCTGACTGAGAACCGACAAGTATTTTGACCAGTCTGAACGCCAACTGGTTTCTTCATTTTCCAGCCGTAAGGCATCCAACTGGCACAACATACTATCGCACTCGTCATTCAGGTTTTCCATCTTCTATAAGGCACAACAGGTACAGTAAATTCACAAGAAAAACTCTAAAGTAAAACAGACAGATACCGCAACTTACTTGAGAAATGTTGAAATGAAACATCCATTTTTATAAGAAAGTCATACAATGGTATAAAGGAATCGACCTTTCACCGGAAATGTCAGCCATCGTGACGAAGATGTGAGTGACGCTATGTCATAGTTGACAGGCTAAAGACGTGGTTTTTATATTGCTACTGTGCACGCTTATAGCCAAGCGTTTTACTAATCGAATTAAATTCTGTAACTACGCTGTGGCCGGTTCCCAATCCGGATGGCAAGGTTGTAGGAGGGTGATGGACGGTGGCGAGGTTTCCAGTAAAACAGAAAATCACCTGCGCCTCATATACTATGGCTTTCACGAACATTTACAGGCTTGGTCGTCTTCCGGGTTACCAAAAGCCGCGTAGGCTGTCCAGGAACTGAGGCAGACTGCGGAAAGTCAGTGATCACAACCTCCTTCGAGCTTTCTGGAAAAGAATCGACACTACGACAAGGTCACTAACGCAGCCGGTAACACTTCTGAACGGTCTTACTCGGAAAGAGTAGCGTGCCATAGTAGGAAGTCAGATAACGTTCCACTACAACGCTACAGGCGGCAGGAGCATACGGAGAGAATATCTTGGAATATCTCCTCACTTGGAGAGAACGATCAAGAGCTAGTTGATGAGACTGCAAGGTACCAACTCGACATATGTGGACTCTCGACAACGAAGAGCCAAGGTTCCTGAATACTGAAGCTATTGTGTTGACTTCAGTACCCGAGCTCAGAAAAGTGCTGGCGTAGTAGTAGAACCGAATGTGAAAGATAGAATCATCGAATGGACAGAAGCCTCAAAATAAGAGTAGAAATGGTGCGACTGGAGTGACAATGAATTAACTTCGACCATGGGTATAAGCAGCTGAAATGGGGTTTGTGAGACTAGTCGCTAATCGACATGGCCTGAGAGCCTTGGTGTGCAGTCTGCTCTTTTGCATACTGAGAAGTCACCGCTGAGATGGTTTGGGAACGTCGTTTGAAAGATTCAAAAGAGGAAGAAAACCAGCTACTACTTGCTCAATCGACCAGGTTAAGAGAACGCGGGTTGTGTGTCTCTAAGGACTCAAATTGAGATGCAGAATGATGTGTCTGTCTCTGCGACCCAAAACAGTAGGTGGTCAATGAAACTGACTAACCGGGTTGATCAATTCTATCGCATAAACATTGAAGTTACATAATCAGATATTTGTATGTACCTGAAAACTGTCGACTGCTTCGGCCGCCTTTTCCGGAGAAGACTTGTCCAGTGCGCAGAGTTCTTCCAGATCTGCATATCGCGCCCGGAGCCAGGCGTCAAACGAATCCCAACAGTTCAAAAATGCAAGGCGTTTTTCAATAAAACTCAATGCCGCCTGAAAAGTTTTTAATACGTTCAAAATGCAAAGTGACACGGCGAAATGACACCAAAAAAACGATAAGCATCAACTGCGCAAAGGATGCACTCTAATTTTTCTGTTAAAGGACCGCTGTTACTACTATGCTACAGAAACCATTACAAAAATCTTCATTCGGGGAAAGCGCTATCTCAGGGCGATTGGCAGTAATATAATTCGTCCTTCAACAGATCCAGTGAACTCAGAAGCTATCTGATAAAAAGTTAAGACATCTCAAAAACAATTCTGAGAGCCGACTGTTCTCAAATTCACAACAACTCAATGTGAATACAGTACCTCGACTTACGCGAACTCAGAGTTACGCAGCTATCCTTCGTTTGGCAAAACACTGCCGCCCGCGATCTTCAACGTTTCTCTTGCTGTGACATGAGTTGGACGCGTTTCGCAAGAACTCAACGTGGACAATTACAATTCTATGACCGATGAGAGTAAGATCGCTTTGTTATACATTTTAACAACCTTTAAAAAACTGTCGTCCACATGACGTAAACCTGACTCTCCTGAATCTAGTAAAAACGGAAAAAGATATCTTTGCAGCGTAAACTTAATATTATCAAGAATTTAATAGCATAACGCAGCAACGGAGCCCCACCCGTTCCGAAAGGAGGAGGCAGACAGCGCGATGCCATTACAGCACGTCAGAAAAGGCTCCACGAAAAC